TTTCTTGCTTGTTTCATGAGGTGTAATGAGAGGGGCAACCGGCTGTAAATATAGGTCAATACGTTTTTACTTTGGAAAATCAGGGTTCATGAGCGAGAAGATGAGTGAGCAGCGAAGAAGAGAAAGAGATCTACCCAACAGTGGTGAAGGACATTTACCTGTAAAAGCCGATTGCAGAGGTCAAGAGCAAGATCGTCCTCTGTAGAATGCAGGAATTTCTCGGAAAAGGACAAAAGAGCCGACAAAGAATCGCGATAAAATCCTCGAAATGCATTATGAAAGAGAGCTAGCTCCACAGAAGGCCCAGCGGATGTCGAGGGAACAGAGCAGGCGGAGCCGAAGATGAAGCGCCGAACGAGTTCTAAATCTGACACCTAAAATAAGGAAAAAATAAAATAAAGGAGAGTCGCCAAGTGTGCAAGCAGTGCAAACGCACATAAACACAGACCTCAGTTGCACTCTTATTTAGTGCTGCGGGTAGTATGAGAACAAAGGAGACTGTGAGCGAGCTTAAAAAAACTATCCTTTCGCACACGGGCTTAACATGGCGCAGAAGGACAGCGCGAAGTGTTCATTAAGAAACCGAGCACCGTCTCGTGTGCGTTTGACATGATTGACCTCCGACGTGCCCGCGAGATGCCCCTTGTTGATCGGGCGTGGAAAAGTGAGTGAAAGAAGTGAGTCCTGAGATGACATACGTGTGGCGTGGCCTTATACAGGACCCAATTAGCTGGACGGAAAAACCGGAAATCTACTTTGCGACATAGGGAAGGTAGAGGTTGTGCTTTTAGGGCAACCAGCTTGTGGTCCAAGATGCAGCTGATGCATTCCATCGTTTAGGGTAACAGCAGTTCGAAGGTGAAGGGCTATCCTATAGGCGTGAAAGAGGAATTTAGTCTTACTGAAGGGGAGTGTAGTCGGTGCGTAGCAATGCAGCCCTATGGAATACCAGTTGTTACGGTGTGGGACTGATAAAAGTTAATGACTCGCACGGGACGATGACGCCGAACTCCGTATTTGTTCGGCAGGTTGGCAGATTCTCCTCTGTTGTAAACTATTTAGCCAGATTTGAGTCCAGGGATTAAAGTGGTGGCAAGACAAAGAAAATGGCTAAATCACGCAAACTAAAGAGCACAAAGGAAGCACTTCTCACGCTACAGTCTACTATAATAAACGCGGCCATGGAACCCTGAAATAACTAGTGTAGACGCTCTGGAGGGCCATAAAACTGTCATTTGAGTATAGAGTACATGCTGGTGACAATTATCCGGTTCTAGAATGCAAGCTTCGACTTCTTTTCATCACGGTTGCGCAGAAAACCCGGCCCAAAGTGGTAAATAAAGTGGTGGCCTGAAGAGACGTCTGACCGAGGCGGATTGCGGCAAGGGAATCCTTCAAAAAATGCCTGAAGCTGCCAGTAGAAGGCTCCTCTATGAAGCTAGTCGACAGCAGACGTTTGGTCGGGTGGATTCGTAGACAAAAATCGCACCGAAAAAAAAAACACACCAAGGACTCACATCACAGAGCCAGGCAGCGGGTCTGGCTGGACAGACGTTGGGGGCGTGGTCAATGAGACCCCTGGCCTGGGTACACCACCAATACAGGAGCTTGGATTCGTCAGGACTGTTGGAAAGGGCTTCAAGTGCGGACTCATAGACAGCCGGGTTGCAGCAGACCGGGAGGACACTGGCACATCCACCATTGTTGGCGTCTACCGTTGCGGAGTGATCGTCAGACGTGGTGTAGCGTGTGACTGCCGGCGATGGATCCGGCAGGAGGAAAGTGAAGGATGGTTGACCCAGACTAGAAACCCCCATGGCCTGCAGTTGCGATATGT